TAAAGTAGGTGACTTCCTCAGGGGTAAAATTACAGCCAGGCTCTTTTGCTTCCCAAGACCCTGGTTCCATTTCTCCCCTCTTCCCTTTCTGACCTTGAGTGAACAAACAGGAAGAAGAAAGGTGTGATGGAGACAGGGCACACTGGGCTGTGTGTACAATGTGATGCTCACTTTGGGAGACAAGTCATGAAACTAATCCCAGATGGCAGCTGCCAGGTGTCTCACACCCACTTAGACCTCACAGACACTGGGTCAGGACGGTCAGTCCCAGGGGAATTTATGGGGTCTGACATACAAGCCCTCCACAACTCCACTCACATTCTGCTTCAGGAAGGAGGGCCACGCCTGGCTTGCAAAGGTGGTATTTACGTGCGCACTCACCCTCCTGCAGACACCCACACTCATGAATGCGAGGCCTGGATGGCAGTGGGTGTTACACACCCCCTCACACTCAAGATTCATGACACGTGGTCGTCAAAGCCAAGCCCTTCATGTCCTTTCACGTTCTCTCAGTCCTTCTCCTTTTTACACAGTCTTCCCTCCCTCTCTACCATTCTGTTCACTCTTAAGGAGGAAGACCCACACACATCAGACCCTCCATGGGCAAGGTGGAGCTTCCCATGGCTTCCCCCTCCATGGCAGACCTGCAGAGTCAGAGGCCAGCCCTCAGTATTCTGTCTGCTCAAAACTGTGGGGCTGCTCATGGAGGCAGCCCTTCGAGGCTAAGATCACACAGACAGGGCTGGATGGGGTAGAGATAATGAGAGCCAAAAGACAGAAAAAGCCTGTGAGGGAAGGCTGGAAGACAGCAGGCAGCCAGGCTCAGCAAGCCTCAGGACAAGTCCCAGGGGACCGATCCCCGCCAACACTGTGCAGCCAAGTCCTGAACTCATTTGAATGGCTTCTGTCCCAAACCTGAGTCACAGGGGATCCCATGGACTTCGAAGCTCACCCTCTATGCATTTCCAAAAACAAACTGCTTGATGCTGTCATGGAAAACCTGGCTCTTTGCATTCTACGGTTTCATTATGGATTACATCCAGGTCACAACCCAAGGAAGACAGCTGGCAAAGCCAGCCCTGCTGGCTGGTGACCCAGCTTTTGTAATGGATCCCAGAGGAATCTGAACCCAAGTGTGTTGCTGGCTCTTTGAGTCCTGGACATGCTCTCCTCAGTTTCTGCAGTCAGACTCAAGTCAGGTGTGGGAGCTGCCCCCGAGAAGAGAAAGCACAGGGAAGTGTTCCTGCTCTCTTCTGCCTCTTAGAACAGTGATTGAAGAGCTAAGGGTCCAAAGCCTCAGGAGGACTCGGCACCAGCACCCCAAAGGTGCAGGCAATAGAGGAACCAGAGAGCAGCAGCATGCAGAAAACATAGGGCTTGAAGACAATGAGGCCAATTCCCAGGGCTTATTGAAAGTATCCTGTTCCTCAGAACACAGAAATTCTTAGAAGTATAAAAACATCCTAAAACTTGGCAAGAATGCAGGAACACTTTCAAAACCACTGTAGAGGCATCACCACTTCCTGAACGCCAAACACCACACTTGTCTTGCCGACGTATTGTCTAATTTAACCCTCAAACAACCTTCAGTTATGTATCATGACTAGACCCGACTACGAGGGAGCACACCTGGGGCTTAGAGAAGCTGGCTAAGTTGGCCAGTGTTTCTCAGTCCTCCTGAGGTCAGGCCTAACTCCAGTGATGGCAGGAGGCAACTGCTGAACACCAAGGTTTCTACGGGATGGTAGAAGTAACCAGCTTCCTGGTTGCCATAGATCAGGCCTTGAAACAAATCCTGCTACTTCATCTAACCACGGTTGTTGCTCTCAGTAACAGGTAAGACATTTCTACCGAGGCAGCAGTCGCTTACACGTGAACTCTAATGCTGAAATGCCAATATTTTAAATGTATGTCCTGCTTCAAGAGACGGTCTTAATACATAGCCCAGGCTGGACCTTCTGCTTTCTTCTCCCAAGTGCCCAGATTACAGGTATACACCACCACCTCCAATTTGTGGTCTATATTTCTATATAAGCCTGTGGAATAATTATTTTTAATGTATTTAATTTTTATTTTTATGTGCATTGGTGTTCTGCCTGCAAGTATGTCTGTATGAGGGTGTCAGATTTTAGAGTTACAGACAGTTGTGAGCTGCCATCTGGGTGCTAGGAATTGAACTCGAGTCCTCTGGAAGAGCAGTCTGTGCTCTTCACCACTAAGCCATCTCTCCAGCCTGGAATATTTATTTTTTAAAATTAGCTATGTCTAGGGAATATGCTTATGTCATATCTCCTAATTTTATATCCAGTCATTTTCTAAAAGTATCATTTTGCTCTGTTAGTATTGCACAGCTGCAGTAAGCTCTTTCTTGCGCCCCATTTGCTTCACTGCAGACCACAAGAGGGCATAATAGAGGAAAGCCCCAGGGCAGCCTTTCTGCATCCAGGGTGGGACTCTGATGCTCATACAGCTTTTGGCAAACAGAAGTCAGTATCTTTCACACTGTAGCCCAATGGTGCAGGACCAGGCCTGCTGCCACAGGACGCTGAAGTACCTGGTGTAGCCCTCCATCCTAGGAGAAGGAACCTACTGTGCCCTTCTAGCAGATATGGGAACACACCAGCTCTCTGTGGTGCGCTGTGAGCCTGGCTGTGGACCAGCCTCTCCTGTACTTCAGAGCTTCATCCTAAGCCCATGGCCCCTAGAGAGCAAAGTGTGAACAGGAGGGCCCTGTGCCTCATGCCAATTTAAGACTGAGTAACCTCAGAATTTCTGGGATGTGCCCAATTTGCAGGGGTGGACAGAAAATTTAAATTTCTTCAGAAAGGTCAACTTTTGGAACCATCCTCTCTAGCAGGTTAGGTCACAAAGTGCTCTTCTCCTCAACTCTTCTTCTCAGGTACTTCATGCAGAGAGAGACAGAGAGAGGTCATAAAAACTCACTGGTGAAAATACACACGGAACTCTGCAAAAACGTTTGGTTGCCCATTAAGAGAAGTGCAAACAAGAGCATGATATGATTTGTTAGACTAACTCGTCCTCAGGGACGAAGTTTACTGGGACGACCCCTGTTAAAAAACACACATAAAGCTGGATGTGATGGTCCAGGCCTGTAATGCTAGCACCTAGAAGCTGAAGCAGGAGGATTCCCACGTGTTCCAGGGAGTGAAAAAAAAAAAAAAAAAAAAAAAACCAATATAAGCTGTGTGGGAACAGTCTTCAATACCCCATGTTGTAAATGGTCACTGTTGTTTGTTTTGTCTGTGAGCTTCCCCAGAAGGGCAGCCAGGAGTCTCTTCTGACAGGCCAGCTTACTAAAAACCCCACCAGCAAGGCATGAAAGCCTGGAGGGTCAATTTGACCCGGTCGAAAAGTTACCCACCCCCTCTGATTAAGTAGGGGTCTTCTGGAAGATGAACGAATCCTGAGTGCAGGCTATGTGTTTAGTTTGACTTTTTAAAACCCCTTTGGTAACACTTGGCAGATGTTTTAAGATGGACACCCGAAGCACTATGCTCGAGGAAGTAAGCGGACATAAAACCCCAAAACCTCTGCCTTTCATGTTTCTGGGAGGGGAAATACCAAGGGTGGACTTCAGACTTCAGAAGTGAATCTCAAGGACAAAGAGTGTTACAGCATTAGACGCCTAGGATGAAAACACTAAGGTGATGTCATGTTCCAGCCTCCCCGCTTTGCACAGAGAGTTGGCACTCTACCCCAAAGTGGACCTGCTAATTAGCAGCAGAGCTAAAACATGGAAGCTTGGTCTAGCAGAGTTGTCTACATCCACCTGGCCCATTCCTGGCACAGCTGAGGCTGTCAAATAAACAGTGCCAACTGTCACATGGAGAATCACCTCATGGAGACAGCTCAGGCCACAGGGAGGGGTGTGTCACTTCTCTTAGTCCATTACCCCATCCTCAATCCCTGCATACAATGGCCCCCTAAGATTTGAGGAACAGAAAAGCAAACAAAGAAACAATAACATTATCTTATCAGCTGTTTGGGGAAAGCCCTGCCATTTTATCTGTTTATTTGGAAGCAGCCCCACTTAGCTGCTGAGGCTGAGCGGTATCAGTTCCTGTGGGGGCTGCTGCCTCACCACCTCCCTGGCTGCAGGGCACGGCCCACCACTGATGAAGGGCCCAGGTCCTACTCAGGAGAGTGCTGAGCAGAACCGCCTGTGTTCTTCAGGTGGGGTGTGGAGACTCCTCCCACTGCAGCTCAAATTGACAGCCCCCTATTTAACATGGGAACGCTCTCCCTGTTCACTCTAACCCAACAGCACAGAGGCAGTCCTTTCAGCATGGCCAACTAGTGCTGTCTTGGGTCAGGGTCCACCTTTCAACTCTTTGGAGGAACCAAGGTGATGCCAGGGTCTACAGACCTTTGCTTGCAGCCTTCTCTCTGGGATCACTGTTAAGAACTCAGACTTTCTACCCATTTACAACAAGCTCACTAGTGCGAAATGCCCAGAAAGTAGAAGTTAGCTTGCACCTTCTGATCTGACTACACAGAACATTCTATCTGGCTCCAAAGACAACTTAAGTGCAACATTATTAAACACGGAGGAGCTGATGCTAATCCCTTCCTGGGAGGCTGGAGTCACCCCCACCCGATGCCGAACTCAGGGTGGAGGACAACCTCTCTGCCTCTAACTAAACAAGGCGGTCTTTCCGTTTTAGCTGCATCTGGACTGGCTCTGACCAACCCCTCAGATATGCTCCCCTCCCCCCACCCCGCCCAAAGCACAGTTTTAATTTAATGAAGAAAAAAAAAAAGCAAAAAGTAGTAACAATTATCCGAAGAAAACCCAACAACTCAGACCCCGAGGAAAAGATGAAGGAGAAGTGGCATGCGATACCAGCTCGCAAGCCTGGGTCTTACTGTTGAGAGACTGACCGCTGGAGAGGGACCCTGGCCAGCCTTCTTCACGCACAGGCAGGCAGTAAGTGCCAGGAGTCCCATGTTCAAGGTCCTCCGCGCACCCCACTACTCACCAGCGATGCCCTGCAGGAGCCCACAGACGTTGAAAATGCTTTTCTTCATGATGCTTTGCACACACATGGTGAAGACAGACACGAGGGCCACTACGCAGAGAATGAAGATCCCCACCGCCAGGAAAATAGCGGTGGCTTGCCAAAAGCCGCTGGCGATCTCCCCGAAGCTCTTGGCGTAGGTCCCGCACAGTGTGTCCCGAGGGACTTGTTGCATGGCTGGGGTGCGGATGCAGAGGATTCCCAGGTAGTAGGGCTCCGAGTCGGTGCCTGCCGGCTCGGCGCCGCGGGTCTTGGCTTTCCCGATCAGCCAGTCGGCGCTCATGAAGGCAACAAGTTCAGCAAAGGCCACCACGATACTCAGGAGGGTCCAGAGCATGGAGCGGCATGTGACAATGACATGACACATATTGATGTTCACGGTGGGGAAGCGAGGCAGGAGTCCACCGGGTCAATCCAGAAAGACAGCTATGAGATGAGAAGAGGCCAGGGAAGGAAGTTGCTGCAAGGGTTGTTCAGTCTCGCGGTCAGAGGCGGCGGCGGCGGCGGCGGCGGCAGCAGCAGCAGCGAGGTCCCGATCCAGGGCTGGCGTCATTCATGCGGAGTGCTGAGTCCCTGGGGCCAGCAGCCTCACCTATAAGTCCAGAGAGGAGGAGGAGGGTGAGCGGCTGGCCCGCCCCGCCCCGCCCCAACCAGCAAAGCCCGCCCACCTTCCCGCGCTTAGCTCCCAGCTTCCAGCCCAGCTGCGGGACTTTCTGGGTGCCATTGTTCCTCCTTGTTTATGGCAACACGGAGTGGATGGCTGTAGGGGACCTTATCCGGCTCCCCCCGACCCTCTGCTGGGCTTACTACTTGGGACGCTGCTCCAGCAGCCAACATTACAGAGAGATGCAGGCACAGCTGGCAGGGAACTTTCTCAAAGACTGACTGCCCCTTGGAGAGTTTGTGAGGCAGTAGCCACGCTGTGCTAGCACATGAGCCAAGTTCTCTAAAACACCAACAGGTGTTGCTGTTGTTGTTGTTGTTTTGTTTTTGCTATTTAACCGCAGAGAGTAACAACCTTCAAGTGCCTGGAAATCAGACTACCAGCCAAGTATCTGGCTCCTAGCTGAGTATGAATGAGAAGGGAAGTGATCCCAGGAAGAACAAACAAGACTTTGCTGCCCAAACTTACCTCCCATCCATTCCTCACATTATTTTAAGGAAGTTAATTTATGCAAGTCAAAACTTTAAAAAGCCCTAAGGAGGGAATGACTTGAAAAACTATTCATAATGGTGCACTGATGCCCATGGGCATCAGTGAAGATGGGTCCACTCGGTGGTAACATAAAGTTGTCCTTGAAGAATGCATCTCTTGAATTGTCCCAATTCATCTCATGGCCCTTGGCCAGAGAGCTTCATTCACCCCCTGTCTGAGACTCAACATGTTCATTGTTTCTGATTTCACAGAGAGCTCATTCTGCTCCTGAGGACACGTGACTTCATTAGCAGAGAGGACTTTGCCCCAGTGGCTCACCCCTCCTTCAGAGCCTGAACCCTCAGTTCTCTGTCCTTTCTCCAAGGTTAGGCTGGATCACACAGCTCATATCTGACACTGAATGACCCCATCTCATTAACTGAGGTTACATCAACGCCATAAGAACTACAAAGAGCCCCTTGAAATGCTGGCCTTAGGTGGGGCAGGCAGTTGTAGAAGAGGGAGGGAGACAGGGAAATGACAAGTGCAGAGTCAAAGCTTAAAATGGCGGTTGGTATACCACATACCAGCTTTCTGTCTGCTGGCTGACAGTCTAGTGATTGTGACTCATTAAATATGACACATTTAAGTCGTATCACAGTAGTCACATGGGACTGTCCTTAAGACACAGTCTGTATGGGGTAAGGACATAAACTGCCAGGCTGTGCAGTGCTTAGTTAAGGGAGAGGACTGCTGTGTGTTTCACTAAAAGCCTTTGGCACTCTCAGATCTGAGCTCTACAGCTAGGTCCACCAGTGCCTGGCCACGTGGGTAAGTAACTTCCCAGTGTGTCTTCACCTACAACCTACACGGAGACTGTAAGAGTGCTTCTCCCTTACGAGACAGATGTGAGAGAGAGACAGGGGCCTATTCAAGCACCCAGAAGAGCAGCCATTACACCAGGTATTAAGCACCAGAGCTTCCTTCCCAGCAGCTTTTCTCCACAGCCGAGAGTCTGATGAGAGCCAGTCCAGCAGAGGTGCTCAGTAGGCCAACGGCCATGATGTTGAAGAGACTGAACACAGGCTATGCAGAAATGATGGAGCCATCACTCAGGTCTAAGCTGCCTGGTGGGCTTTGAGGGAAACATGTGGATCTCACTCTGTGCTTCTGCATTGTCTACACCAGACTTTCAAATCCAACTGGAGAGAAAAAAATTAGCACTGAGCACAAACACAGGTGCCATTTCCAAGCACTTCTTACCAAATACTTCGGAACAGAAAAGCCCTCTGAGAGACAAAAATTTCACAGGGGATTGTTTATAATGAAAACGATAATGCTGGATGAGAATTGGAAAAGGAGTGGTAGGAAGTCCCTGGAGGCCCTGGGGGGCTGCACCTACCTGGACTGTTGGAAGGAGAGAGCCTCTGGAGAGACCCCTCCCTCAGCTGATTACACAACTAACTTGCTGTCACTTCCAGCCATCCCCACCCTTGTCCCACTTCTATTTAATGTGGCTTTTCAGACTCTATCTTGCGGTCCCCTTGCTGAGCTGCAGGGCTCTGTGATGCTCTCAGTGGCAATGCAGAGTGTTAGCTGTGCTGACCTGCAAGCTCGGAGTCAGGAGCGTGATGAGTGTGATGAGACTGTAATCTTGGAAGAGAAAGGCTGTGATACTTCAGGCCTGCACACTTGGTAAAATGGTCTATGCCAAAGTGAAGGCGGGATTCTTTAGGGATCCCACATTACTTAAGCCCAGGAAACAAAGCACTTTCCCCATGTACCCAATATTCCTAACACAATGGCTGTCATGAGGCTGCCATTCTCTTGCTTTGAACCCTGAGATAAGATGCATGGGATCTTAGCAAGTTTCCTAACTGCTACCATCAGTGGACTGCCATGATACTCTAGGTTGACTAACAAGGAAGCTTCTCAGCTCCAAGCAAAGTCTGGATAGCTGGACAAGGAAAAATCTGGGACCTCAGCAGGGGGCTTGAGTAGGCTGTGTTCTGTGCAGTGTCCCCATTTGGCTAAAAGTACTAAAAGGCAGGCACCTGCTGGGACAACCTCCCTGCTAAAGGGGAAATAGATCTTCACTATGGATCTTTGTTAGCCACAGGGGCCCTGTGGCTTGGCACACCACAGCAGGAGCACTCTGCTGCTAACTGCCATTTCTGTCCTCATGCTCCCTCCTAAGCCACCTGGAAAAAAGCCACTAAATTCATCTCCAGCTTAGGACACCTGACCTTCCTGTCACCGGCACAATGACTGTGATTCTGCTGGACAGTCTCTTATAGAAAATAATGTTACAAAACTATCCTGAAGGTCCACAAGGAAAGCCTCTGGGGGGAGAGCAGGGCAAAAGAGGAGAATGCCACAAGCAACAGCAACAGTCTCACCATCCAAATAGAGAGCAAGGAGGAGGATACAGTGACAGGGAGTGACATCCTGTGAGTAGTCCAACCAAGGTCTAAGTGCATGAGAAAGCTGTGCAGAGCTGCAGTGCGCACCTTAGACTACAAGGTCTCCATCTCTTCCAAGTCCCTACAAGGTGCACACGAAGCCAGAATCAGGCAGTGCCTGCTGGCCAGATTTCTTAGGTTACCAGGACAGACACCCAGGAACAAAGCTCCTCTCCACCCAGGAGGTGCAGGGAAGCTGGAGGCATCAATCAACGCTGCATCACACCCCACACACCCAGCCTGGCAGATGAGGCAGACAGGAGAATGAGGTGAGGGCAGGGTACCTACTCACCACGCGCCTGCTTTTCAGTTTTATTATAATAATGTCGAACACAGACATAAATTGACAAAAACAGGCAAGGAGCACCTGGATACCCAACACCAAGATTCAGTATTTGTTGGTAACATTCCCTCTTATTTCCTTTCCCAATCTAAAGTGTACACAAGTTTTTTGAGCCATTTGCAAATGAGATGAGAAGGTCTAATCCTTTGTCTCTAAATGGTTTAGGGTGCACTTCCTAAAATGGGGACATTTCCCCACATAGCTACAAGACAATTATTCCACCCATGGCTGCAGTGAGGACTAAGATTCGGCCATCTGAATGGTGACCAGCACATCATCCCATCCACGGTGCTGGCTATTAGTCACTACTCCCATTAGTCATCCCATGGATGAGCACAACACTTGGATACAGAAAGTATTCACAAGTATTATGTTGGGCCAGGACAGGGATTCCAGGTCTATTTGTAAGTGTTTCTTTTGCTCCACATCCTACTTAGACCACAGAGCCCCTCAGGCTCTAGTTTTGTGACATAACCCAAGGATGATGAAAAGAAAAAGAACTAGAAAAAGTAGAAAAGAAAGGCAAGGACTGACAAGTTAGTCAGCCACAAAGAAGTGGCCCCAAGCCACAGCTCTGGAAAGATGAAGGACCGAGTCTTAGCTGGTGAAGCTAACTTAGCACACATTCTGTAAGGATGTTCCCAACTCCAGCTTTGGTCTCTAAGGGACTGAAGATGTATGGGTTCCTGCCCAGGGTGGCCCTTCTGGAGTTTCACAGAAAAAGATAAACCATGTAAGTTTCAAAACACAAAGCTTAAGTAATTTACACTGAAAATACAAAAGGTTGGGGTTGCTTTTCTGCTGGTAAACTGGAAGTGTGAAAGAATAAAATATTAAGTTAAAAATATAAGCTCCAATTACTAATAAATTCACTATCCTTATCTGGGGAGGACACATCTAATCATGTACCTCTGAGAAAACTATTTGTTTCTTGGCCCATCTGCATTATTGCCATCTCCCCTAGACACTGGAACCCCACAAAGGGTTTAGCAGATCAGCCTTCATCCCCAGGTGTTGTGCAATCACGAGACAGTTTTAATAAGCCAACTGCATGTGATCTGGCTTCTGGTCACTGCTTCCTGAAGGGTGCTCTCCAGCTCAGTCCCTTCTCCTAAAGGAAAGAATGGCCTGTGCTCCTGAGAAATGAGCTACACAGGGGTGTCGGGGGGCCTGCATCTCAGACCGGCTTCCATGTCAGTTTATGAAGGCAGTGTGTGTGTGGGGGGGGGGTACAAAAGGGAGTGACACAGTGCAATCAGGACACAGCCAGTGGCCCGCCACCTGTTCTCTGCCCAGCTCAGGGTTCTGTCAGCAGAGCAGCTGTTCTTCAGCAAGTTCTGGGACAGCAAGGGAGCTGTCTCTGATAACTTGGGACCTTTACCCCAGAGCACAAACACGGCCTTCAGATCCAAGACCAATGCTGGTATGGAATGCAAAGCCCTTTGGATGGGCTGCTGTTGTCTCAGATTTTAAAATATCCAACCAGAAGAGGCTTCTCAAGCTTTTGCTCTGTTGAGCCCATAAAACATATTGGTGACAAAACAAATCAAAACAAACAAACAAAAAAACCAGGCATCCTGACTGTCAAAGAGTCAAACGTAACAGCAAGCGCATTACTCTTTTAGCTGAATGCGCTCAGCACTGACCTGCTT